CCTCCCTCCCTCCCTCCCTCCTTCCCTTCCACTCTCTAAAAATCAATGAAAAAAATATCCTCAGGTAAGGATTAACAAACACAAAACAGAAAACAAAAACATGGGTGTTCACCATAAAGTCAGGACAGCGGTGACATCAGTGGGGAGGGAGGTTGGTACCTGGGAGGGTGAGTAGCTGCCTTCTGCGTCTGGTCAATGCACTAATGTTTGGCAAGGGAGGCCATTTCGTAGGTGATGGCCTCTTAGCAATTCGTAAAGCATGAGTTTTATGGTTCATGCACTTTGCTGTAAATTTATTAAACTTCACACTGAGGAAAGAGGAAGTGACTAACAACAGACTGAATGCACCAGGCAACAGCCCCTGGAGATGCTGGGAAGTGATTCATCATTCATCCATCACTGTGCTTCCAAAATCTCCCACGTTCTGCCAGGAAAAGATGTGGAGAACATGGGAGCCAGGCTCAACGCTCTGAGCTGAGGAGGCCACAGAAAGGGAGCAGCTGTCAGGGCAGGCGGGGCCAGGCTGCCACAGGTCCAGTAAGGTCGGCAGGGGGACTCTGATCCCCACCATCAGGCAAGGACCTGGCGGAAGGAGGACTCTGTGACTCCCTAGGGATGGGACCAGATTCAAGGGGGCGGCAGATGCATCCCTGCAACCTGCTCAGGAGAACCAAAAAGGCATTTGGGGAACAGCAGTAGTGACCATCGGCCGCATTCAGACATCTGGTCACAAAAACGTGGACACTCTAACCCCCAGCCTCCTGCAGTCACCTGAGGTCAGGAGTGATGCGCAGTCGCCGTAGGATGTCTGGTTGTGTCTCCTCTTCAGCGGATCTCTGAGCTGAAGGGAGGAATCACATGCTGCCACCTCCAGCACCCAGCTGAGGAGCAGGGACAGCCAGCACCCACAGTGACGAGGGAGGAGGGCTGGCCCACAGTCCTGTGGACAGTTCTGCAGTCCCAGCCCACCCGCCTCCTGGGAGAACCCCTGACCTAAGGTGTGCATGCCAGGACTGCACCTGGACTGTGCTCCTAGGGCTGTACTGGTCCCCCATGGGCCTTGGCAGCTCCCTGTGCACCCCTCACCCCACCTCCACCATCCAGCCCCTCCTCCCCTTGGCCAGTAAGAGACCTTGTCCAGACTTGCTGTTCCTTAAAGGAACAGCATGACCTTCCAGGGCCTGGACGTTACAACAGGAAGGGGCATCTCCCACATTCTTCACATGCTCACCAACCCGCTTGGACAGAGCGTTCATTTGAGTACATTCACAGAAGCATCCGTCTTAGATCCCTGGTCCAGTGGAAAGCTCCATGAGTTTTCATAACTGTTACCAAGTTGTCCCTCCTTTCCGGTAATTGGTCCTTGGAAATTCATTACAAAAAGGCTTGTAAAACCCCCAAGACTTAACATGAGCACTGCAGGTCCTGGGCTGCAATCAGGAGGCACCCCACCCCACCTGGAGCGTGGACTTCAGGGCGGAGGCCTGTGACAGCTGAGGTGTGGGCTGTGAGGGAGGGATTTCCCCCAGGGCTAGAGTGTGGGGTCCGGGTGACAAGAGGTAGGGGCCCTGCATGAGGACAGTGAGACCAGCACAGGCTTGGACCTGGGGTGGGGGAAGGATGGGAAATTCCCCAGGACTACAGTCTTCCCTGAGGGAAGTCCTGATTGAGAGAAGCAGGAAACTCAGACCTCGGATTTCCTCCCATCTCGTTCGAGTGTAACAGGACACTCAGTAATTTGGTCCACCCCTCTAGGACCTGGCCGTATCACCAGTCTTGAAAACACCAGGAAATAGAAACTTTGAAAAATCAGAACTATCCGAGGGAGGGAGGGGCCTGAGCACTGTCCCAGCATCTGCACCCACACTGCTCAGGTCTCTGCTTCAGGAAGCTTCCATCTGCTTCACTTGGGACCACAGCTGCTCCCCAAAGCCAGAGATGATCAATCAGGAACATGAGGTGGTCAACCTGGGGGGTCCCCAGAATTCAGGGCCCATGATGTCCACCGTGGTCAACATCCAGACAGAGACCGTCGTGCCCGACCACATCGTCTGGTCCCTGTTCAACACGCTCTTCTTCAACACCTGCTGCCTGGGCTTTGTGGCCTTCGCCTTCTCCGTGAAGGTGGGTGTGTGCCTGGGGGCTTCTCCAGAAAGTGTGTGTGAGCCCACAGGGGTCTGCTGCCCAGATGGCCCTGGGGACTGGGGAGCTCTTGTGTGTGTGTGTGTGTGTGTGTGTGTGTGTGTGTGCAACTGTGTGTGCAGGTCACAATGAGGCTGCATGGGATGCATGGGGATGGCAGGGTCAGCCTTTGTCCCCAGGACCCCAAGCAGTTCCCTACTGACCATACCAGAAATTGCATCCCTCAGACTCACCATGAGGCTCTGAGGCTCTGAGGCTCTGTCAGAAAGAACAAAAGTACTCAGAAAACCCTGACCCTTGGTGGGTGAGAGGCAAGCGAAGGGGCCAGGGCAGGGGGAGAGGAGTCCGGAGACCCCTGGAGAGGCTGAGTCCGTGAGGGGGGAGGTGTCCCTCTGGCCCTGTCCTGCTCAGGCTCCAGGGAACCGGGAGGGGAGGGTCCCTGATCTGGCTGAAGGGCAGGTAGAGGCTGGTCTGGGCAGGGACCAGGCAGGGGGGGACCTGAGTCATAGCAGCTGGCTCTCCCCAGGACCCACTGCAGGCCCCACTCACCATCTCTTCTCCCTCAGTCTAGGGACCGGAAGATGGTGGGAGACGTGATCGGGGCCCAGAGCTATGCGTCCACCGCCAAGTGCCTGAACATCTGGGCGGTGGTCCTGGGAATCCTTTCCATCCTTGCTGTCATCATCACGGTCGTCGTTGTCATCACTGCAGGGGTTCATCAGGCTAGAGGGCACCTTTAGTAACTGCCCAAAGCCTGAGGCAGTCACCCCAGCTGTTTATACACACATGTGTCTACCCTGAATTCAATAAAGGACATATGTGTGACAATGCTGTGTTTTTCCTGGGGAGGGGTCCCTGCTGAGAGTCCAGGCCTGCCCAGGAGACGGAGCCCATCACCACCTGCCCCACCTGCTTGCTGCCCAGGGGTCAGGAAGAGCCTGGATCCAAAGCCGGGATCGGCCAGACCTCCCTCCCCGCAGGAGCACATCTGTCCTGCTCTCTGCCCTCCCCCGCCTCGGGACCTGACCTCCAAGGGGCTATCTCAGGAGTGCCCCCCACGCCCACCCCACCGCCCAGTCTCAATCCAGGTCTCACTGCGGGCCAAGCCTGAGGGAACAGGCTCTCCCTAGGGCAGGCGGGAAACCCCAGGGCGGCCTCCCCAGCTCAGCCGCCTCCGCCTGGCCCTGGCCCCCAGTCTTCACTCCCCTCCCGCACGGCGCCCCACCATTCCGGCCCTCCGCCCGTTGCCGGCTGCGCCCACGGCCTCTCCTGCCGTTTCCCCAGCCCCAGTCACCCGCGTGGCCCACTTGCCTACTTGTCAGCCCCTCTGCCCACACCCCGCCTGTTCACCTGGTATGCTTTGCCCACTGCACCTACCAACCTGGTGGCACAGCTCTGCCAGTCACCCACCCCGCCCACCTTAGAGCCATTATGCCCACTGCCCTTTCGGTACCAACCACAGAGGAAACTGTTAGGAGACCCCCTCTGACCAGCCGTGTACTCCGTGCAGTGGGAGCCCTCCTGGGTCCTCAAATCACCCACCAAACCCTACGACGTCCTCTGTTAACTACTCTTCACATGACATGACAGCATCTTTTTTAAAAAAAATTTTTTTAAAGATAATTTATTAATTTGGTTTATAGGATGAAGCTCAACCACCGAGCACGCCGGCCGGGCTCACATGACATTTTCACATGTTAGTAACCTTCATCCAGTTCCTCGTCTCCTCTCCCATGTACCCACAAAGCTCCTAGACTACTTCACACTGACCAAGCACCTGCTGACCCCTCGTGATCTGCTGGAGACCCCTGTGGGTGACACTGATCGCTCAGTTTTCAGGAATGAGAGTGGAGAGGGCTGTGCTGGGTAGGCCATGGCAACCCCTCTGGAAGCTGTTGAGGCAGCACCTTTGTCTTTGCTGGCTGAACTCTGTGCTCTCATGGGGCTGTATTTTGACCAAGGGCAGAACCACCGACCTTCGTGCTGACAGTGATCTGTCTTCACGGCAGATCGTGAATTTGGAAAGCTGTAGAAGCTACATGGCTTCCTTCCAGTGGAAACAAAAGTAAAAGTGACCTGTGTGTTCTGGGATTATTGGACACTATACATTTACCTGCCACTTCCCCTATTATTAAAGGTCCCAGGACATTCTAAACGTGACTCCCTGGAGGCTCAGGGAAATCACTTTGTGACATCCTGCTAGCAATGCTGCCCTGAAGGAGCCAGCAGCAGGCAGGCACACCTCTGTTATCGCCCAGAGGGTACATCTCCAAAGGATAATTTAGAAAAACTGTTCAGAGAGGCCCAACAACTGGCCCCAGAAAAGGAATCACGAGGTTGGAACGCCAGTCGTTGCTGTGAGGAAAGGAAAGCTCCTATTCAGACGAGCTCACAGCCCTGTCCTCCTGGAGATGCTAGGTTTCCATCCTGACAGCTGTCTGCGCATTAGCCATGGTCCTCGGACAGGAGCGTGTTTGAGCGTCAGCAGTGCATGGAGACAGTAACAAGGCCGTGAAAAGCACCCACCTCACTGTCCACCGGTGCAAAGAACAACCCAGGGAAGCCTGTCCACACAGCCCTGGACCTTTCAAATAAGCTTCACAGACCATTGGAGGTTTGGCCAATAGATACCATGCAGCTCTCCCATCTCATGGATAAAGAGGTGAGCTAGTCGTGGTTGGCATGTGCCCCACTGGACGGAAGCTTTTCCTTGTGGACAGGCCACTGCCTCTTTTCTGGCTGAAGTTCTGTTAGAGAAGATTATCCCAGCTGGGAACCTTCGGGGACTGCACAGCAACCCAGGAACCCGTTTCACTGCTCAGGTTCTCAACAAGTCTGGGCTATTTGACCAATTTTACCTTCTCACTGCACTCTCTATCTCAGCCCTCAGGTGTAGTCAAATGTGCTAAGGGTCTTATTAAGATCCAATTGGAAAAATGTATACTGAACCTCCAAACACCCTGGCCAACGGCACTGTCCTTGGTCCTTTTAAATCTCAGGTCCACCCCCTCCAGGCTCATGAGTTCTCACCATTTAAAATGATTCCAGGACGACCTGAGCATCTGGCTCCTGCTTCTTTCCACCCATCGTTGATGACAGGAAACACGATTTATTGTCATGGCCCAGCTGCTTCTACTGAGAACAACCATGCTCTGGTAGAGCGAGCCTGGTGCTGGGCTCCCAGAGGAAGGGAACCCCCAACTCCACACTCTGCAACCTGGGGACTCTGTTTACTGCAGAAGACACCTCCAGCCCAGCTGGAAGGGCCCCGCCAGGTGCTGCAGACATGCCATGTGCTGCTGAACCCCAGGGAGCAGACCCTAGGAAGCGTGTGTCACTCCCCAAGAAGGCACCAAACCCTGCTGCAGCTGCATGCCCATCTGTTGATCTGATTCTACAGCTGTCCACAAGTGGAGGTGGGCAGCCTCTGAAGGAGACCGATTTCCCAAGTGAGCAGAGCAGACCTGGACAGCCTTTCCTTACAGTGGCTTCTTTCCCTTCTCCCTCTTGGGGGGAATGCCCTTCTCCGCATTTCCCAGTCTGCTGTGAAAGGGGCCTCTCTCAGGTTGCCGGATCTGCCATCAGGAGCTTTGATCTGCTCTGGCCTGTGTGGCTGGTTTGATTCCCGGACAGGGCACACACCTAGGTTGCAGGTCATGGTGTATTTGGGAGGCAACCAATAGATGTTTCTCTCTCACATCGACATTTCTCTCTCTCTCCCTCCCTTCCTCTCTCTAAAATCAATAAAAAAACATGTCCTGGGGAGAGGATTATAACAAAAAACACACAAAAAACACAGATTAACAGTAGAAAACCAGGAGTTTAACAACTTGTGTATCTCCTGCATACATGGGAGAGACCCAGAAAACTGAGTAGCTCAGGAAAGGCCAAGCAACCACCTTAAACATCATCTCTAGCTGAACACAAAACATGGAGTGGAGTGTCAGGAGCCAGTGGAGGGAAGTGACCAGGAAAAGCACAGCAAACAGGGTAGTTAGTTAGGCAGATCTGCTTTTGTGCTGCATTGACAGAAGCTTTTAGAGACGAGGGAAGCCCTTCTTTTAGAGCGGGAAGACTCCCTGAAAATGTAAATGAGCATTACAAAGGGGATTTCAGAGCTTCTCTGTTTTGTAAAACAATAAACCTAAAATAATCCTTACGCCAAGAAGCATAATTTGTAATGACAAATTCTGCTCCCCTTCAGGGGCGTGACTTCAGAGACTACAGAAAAAACCCTGAGATCCCCTCACACCCTAATTGAGGAACTGAGGTAGCTGAGAGGAGGTCTGACTGGAGTGACAGGGACAGGAAGACCCCCCCCCCC